TTTAAACTGACATTCTTGCTCTTTAGCACTTTAAAGAGGTTCTTGCAGCAGAATTTACCCAGTGCAACGCACTAACTATTCAAATCATAGTTGATTCTCTAGTAGACTTTTGGGAGTTTGTATAGCACAAGGGAGCAGATTACTCATTTGTTTTCAAGGAATCTCTGATGGAAGTGAGATTTTTTTGGTTAGCAGTACAAGTGCTTATGCACTATACCATCAGAACTCCAACATTAACTCTAGTTATTAGGTGCTATCAACTTGAGTACAACTCATGCCATCTTATAAACAACAGACTAGTACCCAGTGCTATATTGTACCATCCTCATCACCTCTGACATAGTTGAACCCATTGCTGCAGTCACTGTGTCAATCTTCCTCTCCTTTGTGAACCCTCTACCTTTCCAAGCATAATATACCTTTCCAAAGTATAGTCTCTCCTTGCAGCATGTCACGAGTATGAGAGATGAAGCTGCATCATTTTTCCTCCAAGGAACACTCAGGCTACACTTCTCCTAAGACATATCTATGTATTCTATTAGCAGTTCTTGGGATATTCCATAGTCTTCTTCAACACTGCAACTCAAAGACATCAATTCTTCTGCCATCCTTATTCAATGTCCAGCTCTCAAATGAATAGCAAGTGATCAGAAAGACCATGGCTTGAATCAAGCACAGATTAATTTTCAAATGGACATCATTTCTCTTCAGTATTTTGGAGAAATTCCTGACAACAGACTTGTCTAATGCAAAATTGTTCCTGATCTCCTAACTGCTGCTACCAAGAGCCTTGACCAAGTATGATAAAATAATTGACAATTTAAGTTATTTCTCCATCTATCATAATGTTGCCTATTGGCCCAGTGGTGATGACTTTTGTGTTTTCTTGCGGTTTTTTTTAAATGTTGACAGGTAATCCATATTTGAAGATTTTATCCCTTAATCTCATGCAGCAAGCATTGCAAGTTCAGTATCAGCCATCAAAACCAGGCCATGTGCCGACTGTACAATAGATCATCAGTTACTCATGGAAGCTGAAGAAAATTAAAACAATACCACAAGAACCAAAATGCAACCTTGAGTATACCCAACTAGAATTTAAGATTCATTTAAACAAGAGATTTGTGGCATTGAACTTTAATGATTAAAGACCAGAGAAGAAGTGAGATGACATCAAGGATATCCATGAAGAGAGCAGAAGATCATTAAAAAGATGGAGAAGAAAGAAAAAAACCTAAAATTGATGTTAGAACAGACTTTAAAAATTGCATTAAAGGATCGAGAAGCCAAACCAAAGGAAGAAATGCCAAAGTAAAAGAGCTGAACATAAGATTTCAAATGGAAGCTTGAGAAGATAAAGCAAAAAAGTATATTGAAATGTGAAAGAGCTGAAGTCAGAGAATTAAAAGGGAAGAACTTGCTTGAAATTTCTTAAGCTGAAAGAACTGAAAATACAAATGTAAGCCTTGAGTTGCAATTTTCAAACATGCTATGGAAAAATCTTGAATAATCATGGAACATCAAAAGAAGAAGAAAGGAATACACAGCATCACTATAACAGAAAGAATTGATCAACACTGAAAAATTGGGGAAGTATCATATGAACATGAGACAATGGTAATACAGGGAGAGGTTCAAACTGTGTTGAAGGCATTGGCAAAAACATAACGCCCAGGATCTGATGGCATCCTAACTGACATATTTAACTAACAGATGCAGACTTGGATATGCTCACCACTCTTTGCCAGGAAATTTGGGAGACAGCTGCTTGGCCAACTGACTGAAAGAGTTCCATATTTGTTCACATTCCTGAGAAAAAAGATCCAACAGAGTGTGGAAATTACTGAGCAATATCATTAATATTACATGCAAGCAAAACATTATTGAAGATCATTCAAGAAAAGCTAGAACTGAACACTTACCGAGAACTGTCGGAAGTTCAAGTTTAGAATAGGCCATGCCACCAGGGACATCATTGCTAATATTAAGTGGATCCTAGCTGAAAGTAGAGAATACCAGAAGAATACCTATCCATGTTTATGGACTATGTAAAGGCTTTTGACTCTGTGGATCAAAGCAAACATTGAGAGGAGTGGAAATCCTAGAACACTTACCTACACCAAGAAACTGTTATCTATATGGAGCAAGGGAGCACTACATGGCTTAAAATCAAGAAGAGTGTGTGTCATGGACGTGTACTTTCTCCGTACTTATTCAATCTGTATGCTTCGCAAATAATTCCTGAACCTAGACTCTGTGCAGATGACTTTGACATCAGTATTGGAGGGAAACTCATCAATAACCTGAGTTAAGGAGAAACTACAATAAATTATTAACGATTAGTGACATGAAAATCAAATCAATGAGATACCATCTCACTTCAGTAATAATAGTAAAGTTTAGTAAGACAGAAACCAACAAATTCTGGTGAGATGTGGCAAGACTAGAACACTATACATTGTTTTGAGGACTGTAAATGGTGAAACTACTGTGGAAAACTGTATAAATCTTCCTTAAAATGCTGTAAATGGAAATACCACATGATCCTGAAATCTTCCTAATAGGTATATATCCCAAATAAATAAGGTGAGACACAAGCATGTATGCATACTCATGTTTATTGCAATTCCATTTACAAACAAAGGTACAAATACAATAGCAAATGAATAGGTAAATAAATAATGGACACACACGCAATAGAATGCAATGTTAAAGAAGAAAGAATTCATTAAAAATTGCATAATATGAATAAACTGGGAGAGAATGAAACTAAGTGGAATAACTTTAAAAAGAAAAACTATAATTCAGTTAATTATAAAAAGAAGAGCTTACACAAAACAGAAATTTAACTTTCAAGGTTACCAACTTTTAGAGAAGGAAAAGAAAGTCAGTAATAATGTAACAGACAATATTAAGTTCTATGAAGGGAAAGGCTACATAAATCTAAGGGCAGTCAGTATTAAATCATTTTAAAAAAAGAAAGAAGGAAAGATACACAAGAGTTAAAGACAACAAAAGTAAACAACATTACATAAACAACCCTGCATTTTCTAGTAATAAATATTGAGGTACAAGTGGATACATAGACAAACAGGTAAGACCAACAGATTTGGCAAACAAAAGGGTCTTTTTCTTCCATGATCACACGTAGACTTGGCAGTCTACACGTGTAATTGTATGTGCTGTAAATATATATATATACTTACAGAGTCAATGTGAGGCAAAGTTACACAACCGTCTTAACTATAAACACCCTAATGGGATGAATTTCTGGACAGAAGTCCTCAGGATCTCAGTCTTGGGGAACATCAAGGCAGATTCACGTAATATAGCCCTCAAAGACATTGTTTTACTTTCTAATTTGATGAGTAGTGACAGGGGCTTTAAAAGCTTGTGAGCTATTGATCTCATCCTGTCTAGAGCAAAAACTAGCCAACAGAATAGACTTTAATTGCTAATGGAAACAATTAGTTCGTAAGACTAATGGAACTTGTAAATCCTAACCTCCATGACCTTAAGACTAGAAAAACTGCTTGGTGCCATTCTACCACTCACTGCTGACTTCCCCAAAAGGGACCACGCCAGAGGCTCCTGGATAGAGTAGGAAATCTTTGTGGAACAAAGCTAAACGTCATCAAGATGATCAGGTGCTCGCTTCCTACAAACTGGTGAATTGCCGAGATCCGAGCTCTGAGTCACATTTTAAGCCTGGAAATGATCTCACGCCTATGACATGACTTTTAGCCGGACAACAGACATTCTTCTAGGATAAACAGTAGCACCAGGGAGGTACTCAGTTCTTATAATAATTACCCATATAATATTAGAGGCAGCATTTCTGGAGTATGAAGCTCTGAAGGTAAGAAGGAAGAGGATAGAAAGATAAGTGGAACGAGAAACACAGGAGGAAGTGGAAAGTATTTATAGTGTGAAGACTGTACCAATGTTCCAAAATAAAATATGTATAAATGGTTGAATGGACTACCAATATGCTCTGTAAACTTTCACACAAACTGCAGCAAAAATATTTAAATAATAAAATAAGTCACCTCAAAATGACTTTTAAAATAAGATGGATTTACCTAGATTTTGTATACTATTTTTAAATTCAGATAAGGCATAATTATAAATTATATTTTTTTGTTGTTGTTGTGGTGGTGGTGTACCATTGAGTTGGAGCTGACCCATAGCTGACCCTCCAGAAGGTTTTCAGAGGCAATTAATCACATGGGAGTTGATTGTTCATCTTTCCTCCATGAAGCAATTGGTGAATTAAAAATAGATGCTTTTGAGATTGCAGCTCAGCTTCTTACCATTCAGCCACCAGAGCTCCATTAAAATAGATTTGTTGTTGTAATATGCCATCGAGTCACTTGCAACTCATAGTGACCCCATGTCAACAACAGCTCTCAAGCCTGGTCTATCCCCAGTCACTGAGTCAATCCTTATCATCCAGGGTCTTCCTCTCTTGCACTGTTCCTTCACCCTCCCAATTATGACACCCCTCTCCAAAAACTGGTCCTTCCTTACAACATGTCCTGAGTATGTCAGACAAAGCTTCAAAATCCTTACCTTCAAGGAGCAGCTTGGTTTCACCCTCTCTGGGATGTACCTGTTTGTTCTCCTACCAGACCATGATATATTCAACACTCCTCTCCAGAATGACAATTCAAAGGTATCAATTTTCCTTCTGTCATTCTTAGTCATTGTCCAGATTTCTGATGCATAACAAGTAACAATGAAGACATGGCCTGGATCAGGCACACATTAGTCTCTAGACTGACGTTGTTTTTTTAGTACTCTGGAGAGGTCCCTGACAATAGATTCTCCCAATGCAATTAATCTTTGATTTCCTGTCTGCTGGCACCTAGAGTATTGCTTGTGGAGCCAAGAAAGCTGAAGCTGTTAACAATCTCAATCTCTTTACATGTAGCAAATAAGTATTAGTAAAACTACTAAGCATACTTGGTTTTACTAAAATAATGTTTTCTTATTTTCAGAGTAAAGGAGAATATTTAAGCGATGTTGTTAACATGATTAAAAAGAAGTAAGTACTATCCAATAAACTTTAACTTCAACTTTAATTTTCTTGTAACAATCTTTCTGCCTATTATTTTTATTAGAAATCATCTTTTTGTACTATGTATAGTTAGGCAAAAATAAACAATTGTTTTTTTCTAAACTGTTATTATAGGTACTTTAGACTTCTCCAACTTCATATGTAACAAAACTGTTTTTCTGCTTTAATTTTTATATTTATCCTCCATGAACTCCTTTGCCTCTGAGAAATGACAACTAATTATTTTTAAAAGTTTCTTCTCTTCTTTGGTGTATGAAGTGACTTTTAAACTTCTGCTTACAATCTTCAACTCAACATAGTTTATGAGGGATGAGCTACAACCATACACTGATTTTGTTGTTAGTGAGTGCTATGGAAGTGGAACCAACTCATAGCTGATGCTTCAGGATTTTCAGAAGCAGTTAATTACACAGGAGGAGACTATCCATCCTTCTCCCACAGAGATGGTGGATTTGAACCATATGCATTTGGGATTGCAGCACAGCTTCTTACCATTAGGCCACCAAAACTCCAGATTACTTACCAATTTCAGCACTGTGGATATATTCAGAGCATGCCTAATTTTCCAAACATTCTGCTCCTAACGAAAAGAAAGGTTGGCGTTTCACATCTCCTCAGAGGTGCTGTGGTTGCAAAGGGTTATCATTTTAAATATCTTCCCTAGTCATTAATTAGTTATTTTGTGATGAAGTATTTATTGTTAGATCTCTTGGGGATGCTCACTTTTCAGCTGCACCATCACTGACTGTCTAAAATGCTCACCAGTCTAAGCATGTTCTTAGCTCATGCAATAGGGTGGGGCCATGAAAAGATCATGCAAGCTGAAATTTAGGTACTAATCGAATAATCAATGAAAAACTCAATTGTTCTGCAAAGTTTAAACTTTGCCCTGCCCAAACATTAAGCACTGTCTTGTTGTTGGCAAACAAATGTATGTTGTTGTTAAGAGCTGTTCCAGCAGCGAGAACTCAGAATGATCCTATGCACAACATGCTGTCCAATGCTGCACTAGCCTCACAATCTCTGCTTTGCTAAATACATATTAATTGCATCTAGCCATCTAATTAGGGTCTTCATCTCTGATCCTCCATCGTCCTTCTCTGAACTTCCACCTGCAAGAGAAAGATAACCTCTTCCAGGGACTGACCCCTC